CACACTGACCCAGCCCGAAGCAGAGCTGCAGCTCGGCGGCTATGTTCAGCACTGAGCCTCCCAGCAGCCTCAGCAGCCTCAGCCCGCTCCTACAAAACGCTCTGGTGCCATCTAGCGTCATGTTGGCGACAGTACTAAACATTCTCAAACACACACAAAAACACGCGCTTCATCCTCTGGGTAATACCCACTCGTCAAAGACTCTTATACACGCACACTATGCTTCCTGGCTTGGAGGCTAAATGTGTCTCTGTCGTCGTTCGAAGGTGTGATGTGCTGCTGGCAACACGTGTGTGAGTGTGTGTGTGTAAGTGTGGGGTTGGTGTGTTATAGTGTGTAAGCTGTTGACAAACTGATGATGTGCCCGAGACTTCACTTTGTTGTCCTCTTTGGAATGAAACCAGACCAGACATGACGAGAGCCAGGGAGTATGTGCGTGCACGTGACCGTGTGGAAATGTGTGGGCCGTATATTTATTCTTTTGTCTTGTTGGTTGTGGCTTTCTGTCTTTCTCTGGTGTGAACAAAGAGACTGGGGTAGATTCTGATTACCATACGATAATATTAAAAGTGAATTCCACATAGGCTAATATTTAAGTGTATATAAACTGTTCACATGCACCACCATAATCATACAGAGTATTAATGTAGTTACACATAATGTGCAGGCTCATAGGCAATAATTATGCCGTTTTGGTATTGACAAAGTTTATAAAAAACAACCTTCAAAAATGACAACAACAACAACGACAACAACAGCAACAATAATAATAATAATAATAACAATAATAATAATCACCACAACTCATTTTAATACGTATTTAAAATGTGAGTTGCAATTACAATTTGATGTGGTTTATGTTTTAGAACTTCTTATATCGTATTATGTCCCTGATTACCGGCTATAATAAAATAAATTAGTTACGCGTGCACCAGTGCGCGTGTCCGCTCCGTTTTTTTTTTTCATTTAGCAGAGAGTTGGAGAAAAAAAAGCTGCCCCAGCTCCCCGTGATGCTGCATTCATCCGTCCGTTAATCTTTAACTCGTCCCGGGGCCATTATGTGGCCGAGAGCTCGCGCCCACCGGTAACAGTTCGGTGATCTGACCCAAAGCACGAGCTCACGGTGCCGTGAAGGACGCAGCCAGCCAGCTCGCGCAGCCTGGAAACGATTAATACATTAAAACAAAAAAACACTAGTGAGGCAGTTTCTTTCAGTTTGTCATTAACTCGCGCAGGAGAGGTCGGTCAACGCGCGCGCACAAAAACACGCACGTACACACTGTTTCTTTACCAGGATACTGAGGCTTATACTCTAAAGGTACGGACATTACGTGCACCTCTACACTGCTGTAGTTACGTGAAACAGATATTAATATACAGAGATATTAAAGTCCAATTTTTTCTTCTCCTTACAGGATTAAACAGACAGGTGATAAGTGGTATCTTAAACATGTCACAGACTATTTTAAAAACATTTAAAATTATTCAGCGTTGGAACGGAAACACCTGAGAGGATGTACTTTTTTTTCCAAATCAAATATTTATCTTCCATCACCTTGATATAAAAATATTTCTGATTATTGTGAGTTTCTTTTTCTTTTAGATGCCGTGTTTTTTTCAAATTCCTCAAATAAAAATAAAGAAAAAAAGGAGAAAATAAAAACATGAGAAAAAGAAAACATTTAGGACTGAAATACATGTCGAAAATACACGTTTTTGAATTTAGAAATCAAGATGCGTTATTTTCCAAATGGTGGCTGCAGTTTCAACACTAGGAATATTTCGGAACATTCCCCAGTGTAGTTATCTCTGTGCAGGGGTTGAAATCAAATTCTGGGCAAAAAATAGCAAAAGCAAAAAAAGTGTAATTCAATAAAATAAAGTGTGAATGTTTAATTTCATAGACAGTTAATTATTTCACAATGCTTTTTAATAATACTGAGTGCAATGCCGGCGGTTTGAGCATTACCGAGGCTGAAATGAACCGCAGATGAACTGCACAGTGCTCGTGTTCGTGTGTGCACGCGCGTTCCTTGTGTGCAGCACAGCACATTTGTTCATCTGCTGTTTGCTGCGGGCCTGTTTTTCAGTTCGTCGCCATTCCTCGGACTTTACAAGGAGTCATAAACGGCCATAAAACCATAAAAGTCCTGAACACTCTCTCTCTCTTTCTTTCTCTCTCTCTGTACCACACACACACACACACACACACACACACACAAACACACAGAGCCATAAAGCAATAAAGCAGCAGTCTCACTCCTTCAGCTTTAATTGTCGATAATCTCTGAAGTTTCTCAGATTCCTGGAGTTCCTTCAGCAGCCCTCAACTGTTTACACCGCAGCTCGGTCACACACACACACACACACACACACACACACACACACACACACACACACACACACGCGTCTGATTTACTGCACGTAGCCGGCTTAAATTATTACACACTATGCAGGTTATTATTATTATTGTTATCATTATTGATATTAGAGATGTTGTTATTTTTATAATTTAAATAGGCTAGTTATTTAGATAGGAAACACATCCCCAAATATTTTCACCGACTGCGTACTGTTCCCTTGTACGAGTATCATTGTTATTACGGTGTTCGTATTAGTAGTAGTGTTATTGTATCTGATAGTAGTAGAAAATTAAACTGTTGCCTTTTTTAAATTTTTATTTTCATATTTCGCTGAAAAAATATTCAATTTATTTGAACAATTTGGCCTCACAAACTCGTCCAAAACGGTGCGCCCTTCTGAATAATTGCAGACTTTAGCTTTACGTGACGTAAACAAAAGGGCAGGAAAAGGCCAACTGTACATGAAACATGCTTAAGTCTGGTTAAACCTCAGTGTGTCATCTACAGGAGGAAACAGCAAATAGGGAAGATAACACAGCGCATTGACATTCAGGGCGCGTGAGAGCAGGCTGTGACTGTCTCACTTTAAGGTGCATTATCCATTTATGTTTCTCTACTTCTCACTCTCTTCCTGATATTAACCGCTGCTTCCATCCGGGCAGACTTTCTCATTTAGCAAACACCTCCAGTCTCCGTGCCCGAGCCCGAGTCTTCCTCTCTCTGTGCCGTTTGGTGCCGTTTACCGCCCCGCTTCTCCCAAACTGCAACACACCTGTAAAGACGCATAGCAACCCGCTCATTAGCCTACAACTGAGCTGCACACACAGCCAGCATGTATGAATATTTCAAAGCAGTCACATGATATGGTAACAGAAATCAGGTCATACTGTTGCCTTCAAGTCCTAGTTTTCAAACTGCATGTTAACTAAAGCTATTGTGTTAAAGTGCGTCATTATGGAGCAGCTTATGCGCTTCATTTTTCACTTCCGCCATTGTAGAATTATAAACTAATATGTGAGATTAATTATCATAGTTATTCTTGTTTTATGTTACATCAAGGCTTCGGCACAAAAAATGTAAGCCTATAAATGTGTCATAATGCCACATTGGTTGCTTAGTAGGTTATTTTCTCAATGTAGTAAACAAAAAGTGTATCTTTATAAGATATGGTAACACTACACATCGTTAGCTTACATCTGCACCTGTAATGAAGGTAAATTTGTCAGTTTTTAAAAGCTTGGGCTAACACAATATCCAAAACAGTTTAGCCTTCATAGTTAACATACTTATGAAGTGTGATGAAACTCTAAAATGCAGCATTGTGAGAGGCACTTGAATCTCACCTGCTGCGGCCTGTTATTAATTTATGCTACGTTACAGTATAATTCCATACATGTAAACACGTTTTAATCAGTGCCTCTTTGCTTTAAACACTTAGCTCAGTTGTCCCTGTGTCACACACTAACTGCTACACTGGATAAATATGAGTATGTCAGAAAGTCATATTTACCCTCCAGGCTGCTGAACAGGAGGTACCACTAAGTACGCATTATGCCTAAACCACAATCACGTTACAACCGTGCTAATGCATACGGGCTGTGTATGTAATAATGGTATTACCGTCCTGTGTGTGTCCCCGGCTGTAGGCCATGCCTGTCCTGCCCCGACTGTTAGTGCTCATTAATGATTAAACCACAGTCAGCTCCAACACAATGCTGCTGCTTCCCGTTCCCACAAAGCAGAGAGGAAACGCAGCGTCCTGCCAGGGAGAGAGAGAGAGAGAGAGAGAGAGAGAGAGAGAGACAGGGAGAGGGAGAGGTCAGACTGAAAGTTAAAAAGAGAGATTCCCCAACTGTCTGTGTGATCCTCCACAGAAAGTGAGAGTCGAGGATAAAACTTATCTGTCTCCCTGCTCTGAACAGTGTTACTTTAAAAACGAGAGAGGACATGGAGGAATGGACGGGGGTGGGAGGGTAAAGTAAAAGTAAAAATAGAGTCTTTGTCTCTATTTGTCAGTCGGACTGTCTGCAGTTGGGCCATGCAGACAAGCCAGAGCCTGTAGGGGAAACACAGAGAAAGACAGAGAGAGAGGGAGACTTATTTATGGCTGCGGTTACTTTACGACCTCAGCGACACATATTCCGTTTGTAAGTGTGAATGAAAAGCAGGCCCACTCCTCCAGCTTTGCTTTGCTTTCTTTCTTTCTTTCTAAAACTATAATCGGAAAAAGTAAAATTATATGGAAGGAGAGCATAACGATATCCATGATGTTTTTCTTTTCATAATTTTGTAATCCGAAAGTGCATAGTAGTAGTCTATTATACTTAGCACGTGTGTGTGTGTGTGTGTGTGTGTGTGTGTGTGTGTGTGTGTGTGCAGCCTGCTGCATTACGTCTGTACATTTTGGTTTTATTCATTACAGTTGAATTGATAATTTAGAAAACTGAAGAACTATCGTGCCCAATATGGTGTATATATATATATATATATATATGTATATATATATATATATATGTATGTATGTATACATACATACATTACTTTTGTATAGTAGCCAAAAGTATTTACGTTAATCTTACCTTTTAAAACTTTTTTTGAAGAAATGTTTTAATTACTAACAAATTACAAACTTTTTTCACCACGTTTCAATGACCAACTACAAAATAAGACGTTATATATTAATTAATTATTGTGATTGTGATTCTATTTATCTCGTTGTAATTATAACACGAACTCATGTAACCTGAGGCCTACTAATATGTAATTAATATTACTAACACAATTTTGTGATTGCTGGATGTGGGACTGTTACGCTACAACTTTGCAAAGTACGTTTGTTCCTTCTCAAAGCTGTAGTATGCATCGGTATAGGTTTAATGTAGGCTATTTGTATGAATATATTTAACCTGAATAATACATAATGGCCCCATGGAAAGAGTTTCGGGAGCGTGGCTATAATCAGTGTCAAGAACACGAGGAAAAATGGGGAAAGTTGGAGACTGTTTTCTTTCTTCTTCTCGTTTTACATTTCAGCCTAATCAGTGTCAGAGAAGAAGAAAATAATAATTCACTGCACACATTGATCAAACCGAACCTGCGGCTCCACAATACAACTGGTTCTCTAAAGACACCACAGCTCAAAACAAGCATATGATTCATACAGCACAACACTCGACAGATCAGCGGCATCCGGGTTATCTTTCAGCAATTACACATTAACAGATTATATTCAGAGAATCCCTTTCAGATTATCATTTAAGCAACTTGTCCGATGGAGAAAACAACCGCGATGAAAGGCCTGCGGTAGAGAACACACACACACACACACACACACACACACACACACTGACCGGCACGGGGGGCATAAATCTACCCACCGACCCAAATGCCTACCAATTACAAATGCACAAACACCTCAATTATAGACGTGGAAATCCCACATTATATTGTAGGCTGACTCACATCCCCGCCGCACACACACACCCGGGACCACACATGCCTCGTGCGCGCTCCCGGCTGTGATTTACACTCGCCAAATTCATTTTAATACGGTCGGTATTATCTGCAAAGCGCCGGGAATATGTTTTATTATTCGGTTGCCTCTGGTTGTGCGGCAGCAACCCTCCCCTCGGGGAGGGCGCGCGTGCGTGTGTGTGAGCTGCTGGTTTTTATGGGTCCAACAACAGACGGAGGAGGACACACAGGGAGAGAAAGAATCAATTTAACGCGCCGAGGATTCCGGTGTGATTGCGCAATCTCACCGGGAACCGGGGGAAGATTAGAAAGAGAAATTGAATGAGAATTAGAAAGAGAGAAAGGGAGTGGGAGATTGAAGAAGGGAAATAGGAAGGGGGAGAGGTGGTGGTGGGGAGGGGGGGTAGTTCCCAGCCCCCCCTCCTCTTCCTCCTCCTCTTCCTCCTCTTCTTCCTCTCTCCAACGAAAGGAAAAGGGGCGAACGAATGCCAGGCACGGAAGCATCCCATTGGTCAGTCTGAGGTCAGCTGGTCTCTGCCTCCCCCCTCATCCTCCTCCTCACCCCATCCCGTCTTCTCCACACACAAACACCCCCCCTCCTCTCTCTCTCTGTCCCACACTGGCACTCAGCCACCCAGATACCCCCCTTCCCTTCTCCTCCTCTCACCCTCACCCTCCTCACCCCACTCCTCCCAATCTGCGATAAACTAAGTGATAGCAGCAGCCCGTCGGACTGTCGGCTATAAAACACAACAAATCATAAAGTGCAGGCAGGGGAAGGCAGAGGAAGGAGGACGGGAGGGAGAACCGTTAGCCGTTAGCCTCCTTCTACTCCTCCTTCTTCTTCATCGCGTGAACGTTGTTGTTGTGTTTGTTTCGTGCCCTCCTGTCCTCCCCTCTCCTCTTCTTCTCCTCTCCTCTCTTCTCCTCCGTCTCCTCTCCTACTTTCTCCCGATGAGTTCCTATTTTGTCAACTCCTCTTTCCCGGTGACGCTACCGGGAACGGGTGCTGGCGGGCAGGCGGCGGCGGAGTCATTCCTGGGTCAGATCCCGCTCTACTCGTCGGGATACGCCGCCGACCACCCGCTCCGGCACTACTCGGGGGCAGCAGCCGTTACGGCCGCCGCGGCCGTGGCGTATGGCGCGAGCGGCGGCGGCGTGCACCAGGAGAAACCGTACTCGGCGTCCACTTACTACCAGCAGGCTGCGAACGGAGCGTACAGCGGGCACCGGGCGGCGCCAGGGGTCGGTGTAGGGGGCGCAACCGGGGCCGGTGCCTGCGATTATGCCACGGCAGCGGCGGCAGCGGCGGCTGCAGCTGCGGCTACGAGCTTCTACCGGGACAAGGAGCACCCGTGCAGTCTGGAAGAGCATCAGCTCGCGCTGAGCCAGGAAGGCATGCACCGTAAAGCGGAGTGCGCGGGGCTGAGTGGGAAAGGGATGTTCGGTGAAACGATGGACGACAAGCTGCCGGCATCAGCCCCCATTTACCCGTGGATGCAGCGGATGAACTCGTGCAACGGTGAGTGTCTTCTTCCCTCTTTCCTCCTCTTTCTTGCATATTTTATGATCCCCGTCATAAAACTGACGTTTGTTTCCTCTGTCAGCCCCTCTGCTGTCTTCCCTTTCTCTTTTTCCTCCTCCGCCTCTCTCAGTAGCTGCTTTATGATCCCCGTTTGTTGGCCTGTCAGTCAGTCATGTGCTTGATATTTTATTGTCCGTCATAAACTGGGTTTGTTTGGGTTGGAGCTCCTGTTACTGTATGTGACCTGCTGACCGAAGCTGCTGCCGAGCAGGGGGAAATAAAGTTAGAGAGGAAAAGCCTGTCAGAGAGTGTTGTGGGTGAAAACAAGGATCAGATAGAAAGATAGACAGAGAGGAAACTAAAAGCATGCAGCCTCTGCGAGTCAGCTATCTATGTAACTGTCTCTCTCTTATTCTTTATTTCATTTTTAAACTTTATTCTTCTGCCGGGTCCTCAGTCTGCCTTAAAGCACCAGCAAAAAAGTGGAATTAAAATATTTTTTCACCACCTCACATTTAGACATCTTTCTTTTTAAAAACGTGTTTTAATCCCGTCACTGAGAAAAGAAGAATGGTATCACAGCTCCTGCTGCTATTTTTGATCACAGCTTCTCTCCTGTTATCTTTTAAGGAGCCTGGACTGTTGACCTCAGCGCTGCTTATTCATAACCGAGCAGATTAGATATTACACTCATAATCAGGCCTGCAAATGCTGCCAGGGTGAAAATGAGACACGCAGGGACAGATTAAAGAGGGAATAATTTGATTTATTCGGCTGCTCAAAACAATGATGAGTCTGTCCTGTTTTACACTTTTGTGCGGATTAAACCACAAGTATGAAATTATCGTTGTGGGCCACTATATTGCAAACCGGAGTGTCTTTGTTTAAAGAGAAAAACGGCCTGTTGAGAGTGTAGTGACTAATGGTGGATGATGCAGGGCTACTGTGGTACAAAGCCCTGCAGGACACTCCAAGTTATGACTGATGAGGTGGAAACAGGCTCCGCTGCAAAGACATATATAAGGAATAAAACGCAACGCGAGCTATAAATGACAGCTGAAGATGTAAATGGCAGCCGGAGAAAGAACAGAGTGGCACAGAAAACCTGAGTGCTCCTCCATAATCCGGTTTGGACTGACTTTTTATTTATGGATATTTAGATTTAGATATGCGCCCTGAGCAGCGTGCGGTTTTTTTCCACGCCATGCTCTGCCTTTCAGATCGATACAGAAACTGAAGCTGCTAAACTGACAACATGGCGATTTGTTTACCACCGGGGGCCAAAATACTGTTAGTGGGGATCAGAGGAGACTAAAGCCATGGAAACTGATCCTCACCGGGGGGAATAACCTCTGAAATATTATCGTTATTGTCCTTACTTTTACTACTATTATTATTAATATTATTACACTGAGGGCTTGAGAACTGGAACAACAGCATCTTTATTCTCTCCTCAATGCTGCTATTCACCAGTTGCGACATTAAAACCTCGTTTTCTGAAGTTAAATCATGTATTTTTATTGGGTAATATATTGGTTTCACACTACACCAAAAGAACAATTCCAGCCTTCACGGAGGATTAAACAGGTGTCCGTTTCTGTTATCAGGCTGTTGGGAAAAACACATGTAACCGCAGAGATGCTGTATAATAGTGCTGGGCATATATGCTACTGGTGTTATAAATATTGGTACTTCTGTAAACCAGTTCAAAGCAAGAAAATGCACTTTCACAAGGACAATATGTGACTGGGGGACTGATAAACTGAAGAATTAAATTCTAATTGAATTGATCCCAAATTGGCAAGTTGGGAACACACTCTACTGTATTAAAAAGGGGCATTGAAGCTACAAAACTAACCAGATTGCACCGCTTTAGATAGAATAGAGAGAATAGAATAGAATAGAATAGAATAGTAAAAAACAAACCCAGTCCTGAAGGTGACTCTGTGTGTGTTTGCAGGTACAGCCATGGTTAAAGTGTAACTTTCTGTCTTTTATTCTCCCTCAGGGACCTTCGGCAGCCCCGGGAGGCGCGGGCGGCAGACGTACACGCGCTACCAGACCCTCGAGTTGGAGAAGGAGTTCCACTTCAACCGGTACCTCACGCGGCGGCGGCGGATCGAGATCGCGCACGCGCTCTGCCTCACTGAGCGGCAGATCAAGATCTGGTTCCAGAACCGGAGGATGAAGTGGAAGAAAGAGAACAAGCTGATTAACTCCTCTTCCTCCTCCTCCTCTTCCTCCACGGTGAACGGGACAGAGGAAGAGGAGAAACGGACGGAGTGAAAGAGGATGGGAAAGACTGATAAAAAAGAGGAAGATGGAGGAAAAGACATGCTGGTTAATCCCTTCCCCTTCCCGTCTCAAAGTTCGTCGAGACGTTTGTCTGATGTGAAAACTCTGGGAAAAAGTAGCCTACATTTAATTTAATTTTATTTTTTTACCTGACACATGTAGAGAAGGAAGGGGGAGAGGATTCCTTTTTGGATCCCTCAAGAAATGTATCCAAAAGACTCTTGAGAAGGAACCGTGTGACTGTGGAAAGAACAGATAAAATTCAGAAAATTAAAAAAGAGAAACAAGATCACACAAAGGGAAATGGATGGTGGCGGAGCAGGTTATGGCATTCGAAATGTATTTAAAAAATACAGTAAATAAATAACCCGCCACCCAACGCTGACAAACTGTTTGAAGACACAATTTCTTGTTGCATTCCAAGAAAACAACCTAACTTCTTATTAGTTTTTATTTTTTGTCAAATGTACTTCCTATCTTTCAGGCACTTGTTTCGAAGCTTTAGGACTCGACCCCCCGATTACTATTTTTCCTTATTTTGTAAACGTGTTGTGTGTATTATACCTTCAGTTAAACGCGCACACAACAATGTGAGGAAGAAAAACTATTTGAGAAGTGTATGTATGTCATATGGTGTTCATATTTAAACTGTATAGAAATAAACAAGGGGGAAACATCACCTTGTGCGGTGAAAACAATGTCATTGCGGTTAGGGGTGGGGGTAATTTCACCATTCAAGGTGTTTTCCAAAATAGAGGGGGGCGCGTGGGAGAGGGTGTTAATCTACTGATGTTATTCTCCAAACTACCTAAAAACGTTCAGGAAAGTGTACATTTTATGGATTTTTACATTGTTTGTTTATGTTAGTGTTTTTGTCAAGTAATTACGTATACTACCTATGAGAAATGTTCAATAAAATGTAAAGTATGTATTGGCAGAAATTTTTCTTGGAATGGGGTGGGGGTTGTTTCCCAAAAAAGGTCTAATAATTTATTAAAACAATAAGGAGCAGTAACACTTAAACTCAGTATCAGAAACTATTTTATTTTATGATTTTGTGGCCTATTTAAAAAGGATCACAAACCTCTTACTTGAAATATACACGCACATATTTACGGCGCGCGAGGCGAGTCCGGGGCCAATTCAGCGCAAGCGGTTGTCCGAAGTGGAAGTGACAAGGGGCGCGATCTACGTCCTAATGGCGGGCTGAACTAATTGATGACCAGACCGAGGGAGAGAAAGTTGACCTGTCCTCGAGGCCGACCAGCCAGACACGTCATACGTATACACACACACTTCACCCAGACAAAGTGGACAATGTCCTCGTGACCCTTTGAACTCTGCTTGTCCCCTGAGTGACCGGCGCGCGGGTCCCATCTCTCGGGCAGTAGCTCGGCTTAGGTTTCAGTGATGCACGCGCATAAATATCATAACGCCTTTACACCCAAAGTAACAGCATCAACACATTAATACACAGGAAATCATTAGGCCTACTTTGTTACACAATCACACTGCAGTGTATATTTTACTAATACTTAGCTCATATGGAAAATTTGTATGAAGAAGTCGAATGATAGAAATTATCATAATATATCAAATGCTATTCTAATGTTAAAATATTCAGTTACAACATTAATAATCAGTGTATATATTATGCTGGCAGCAGAGGACACAATTACAGCATTACCATAAAGATATTTTATATCAGTTTATCAACAGCAAACTGCCCAGAAGACGCACCGACGTGTGTGTTCTTTGTTTTTCTTTTTAATTATTATTATTATGACATGTGTCTCTTGGAGTAACGCACATCTGCTGTGAGCTCACAGCTCACTGAATGCTGCCCCACTTGTTGTTCTGACTATATTGAGTTGGAATAGGCATATTAAGTCTGCTAATAAAAGCCCATTCATTTGCAGAGCATGCTGCCAAGGTAATACCTGGCATGGGTTGCCAGTAAATAATTAATATCACACGGAGAAAATAAAATATTTTCATCAGTCTGTGTGAGAGTTTAGACTTAATATGATTTAATTTGAGTTCAGTAAGCTTTGGTAATCACTGCTTTGCAGTGATATTGAATTTCAGAATATAAACTTAAAATCCTGTAACAAGCAAAGAACTTGATCAGGCTTGTTACATGGTGATTGTATAGGCTTCTTATTTGGGTAGGATTGGCGGTTCGATTCTCAAAGTGAGAATGAGTGCTTTTAGGAGAGCTGTATGCTGGCAGATGTTCTACGTTAAACGCAGTGGAAATGGGTTCACTGTGACCCAGAGGGCTCGTTTTACACACCAACACATACTAACTGCACACGTGTTTGGTGTTTTTCATATTTTTGGCATTTTCTGGAGTGGCATGGATCTTTATTTTGTCTTTGTAAGACAAGACACTTTGTAAGTTTTCGGTAGTTTGAGCAGGTCGTGCTGTGGCTTTTTAGGTTGCAAATTCTGAAAGTATTTCATTAGACTATAAAGTAAAATCTGCACCATTCCAATTCCAGTTAAATTATGGGACTCTTCAAAACGGGAGCGTCTAAACAGCATTATAACATCTGTGGGCAGATTAAAATGAGGATTTAAGTAGTCTATAGATTATAATTAGTTGTGCTCATTTTTCCCCTAGACGAATGAATATAATATAGAATACAATTTAGAATAAATGCTATTTAGTGGATGATTTAATCCGTAAACAAAGTGCGCAGGAGCAGATTTAGAGTGTGTGGCTCCAGCTTGAGCACCTTGTTCTACTAATCTAATCCTGAATCCTGAGCATCTGCAAACATCGAGCAAACTGGAGAGCAAAACTACCAAAAACCGCAGGTGGAATATGAAATAAAATCACACACATATTCTATGTAGCTTTAAAACTGTGCATTCTGTGCTAAAAAAAAATCAAAATAAACCATAGCCACTGAGCTCTCTTATCGGAAACTGTGGAATTTGTTTGGACCAAAGTGGTCCATGGGTTGTTGGTGCAAATATTTAGTGTGGTGGAAATCTATATATAACGAGGGGAGTGTGTTCAGAAGTGTGTGCCAGCTGGGTCAGTGCCCCCTCCTCAACGTCCCTGCGGCTTATATGCCATTTCTTTTCATCCCTTGGCCATTTCTACAGGCATTTTTTTGGCTTCTGTGCTTTCAGGCCAACAGTCGGCTGATTTAATACCGATATGAAAACTCTAGTGAATAAAATAATAAAAAAGATATCTGTTTTGTGCATTTGAACCTCCTGGTGCTGGATGTTGCAGTTGTTTTATTCTGCCTGGTTACTTTTGGAATATTCAATATGATTTCCATTCCAACTGCTGGTTTCTTTTGCCGACACTCAGTGTGAGAGCAGCTGAGTGTCTGAAATGTGGCCTGAAAAGTGCACACACATGCATTTATACACGCACGGTGCCCCCACAGAGTGCGGTCATTTCTATCATTTCGCACAAAAACCTGGAATTCTTCATCTGCCCAATGTTCTACCATGTGTGCATGTACGTGTGTGTGTGTGTGTGTGTGTGTGTGTGTGTGTGTGTGTGTGTGTCAGAGTTATAGCGAAACATGTACAGCCGAGTGCACGTTGAGGCTTAAAGCAAATACACACACGGTCAGACACACAACCTCAGACACACAGAGGCACCCTGGCTGAAATGCATCCCAACCCGGGAATCAACAAATCATAAATCAGCAGATTTCCATCCAGTGTGGACGTCACAGATCAGGTTTAACATTCCTCCTCTGCAGCTGGGAGGGAGGCTACAGGGAGAAACGGAGCAGAGACAGACAGACAGAGTAAGAACGAAAGAAAGAAAGAAAGAAAGAAAGAAAGAAAGAAAGAAAGAATCTGACTTTCATTTCCAGTAATGACTTGATGGCTTCACATTGTGTCGCACATACACATGGGTGTATCAGTGTTGGAGTTGGGATGTGTGACGTATTTTGGTTGAAGTCGTGGTTACGCTTCGGTTAGTGTAACACTTTATTGCTAACACACTTCCTAGTTGAATAAAGAAAGGCAAAATTTGAATCCACAGTATTTAATAAAACTACACCATGTGTATGCATTGTGCAGTTATGACATCAGCAAAGAGGGGACACTATACAATATTAACAATAAAGGATGAGGCCCAGTTTTGTGTTTTAAGGTGGACGGTTGGGGTATGTGATATTTTTAACAATATTTCAACAGAAGAAGAGAAGTGACCCTCGTTTTCCGGTCTCTCTGTTTTTGAAAAGTTTCAGGCGGCCCTGAATGCATCATTGCATCTTGTCATAGCGGTTTAGGGCTGGTTATGGTGCTACAGACGTGCGTGATGACGCAGTAATGTGCCTATGGCGCAGTCAGTATAAGTTCAGAAGTATGTCAGACACGTCACTGCTGTTACTGTTTCAGTTTGTTTTCATGCATTATTGTTATTATTGTTGTTGTTGTTATTGTTGTTGTTGTTGTTGTTGTATTGATATTGTTTTATTTGTCAATGTAGGCGGGAATGCGGATGGAGAGCTAAACTCCCAGCTGAAGGTGTAAGGCAGCATTGGCAGGCTGATATTATGGGTTTGTCTGCAGTGTTAAATATTCCATTATTAACGGGTTATGTTAGGTTTATGGTCACTGGCTTCTAATTTCCAGCCTAAGCAAAGGTCAATTAACAGGCCTGAGTGATTAGACTCACACACAATCACACAAAGAGAGAGAGAGGGAGGGAGAGAGAGTTTTTTTTTTTTTTCTCGAGTGTCTGTCTCTCCCTCTACTTCTATTTCGGGCTTTTTCATCAGTGCAATAAATTATGTCTGCAGTAGGTGGCGCTCTGAGCTCACCCCCGGCACCTCCAGCAGCAGAGCAGAGTAAAGGGTGAGAGAGAGAGAGAGAGAGAGAGAGAGAGAGAGAGAGAGAGAGAGAGAGAGAGAGAGAGAGAGAGAGAGAGAGAGAGAGAGAGAGAGAGANGAGAGAGAGAGAGGGAGGGAGGGAGAGAGAGAGAGAGAGAGAGAGAGAGAGAGAGCTTCCCCCGCCCATCCCTTCATCATTAGAAACCTCAGAGCATGAATTACCTCTCCAAAGTCATCGGCGAGAATTTACGACTGGTCAACAAAAGCACGTGACCACCCCCCTCCCCCTTCTCTCTGTCTCTCTCTCTCTCCTCCCTCACCTCACCCCTCACCTCCCCCATCACACACACCCCTCAATCCAACACACACACACACACACACACACACATACACACCACCCCACCCCCATATTTGGACGGCGCATACATAGCTAAAAACGAAGTACAGTGCAACGCCATAATTCACTAATACATCATAAATCGTTGAAAGTACCCGCGATATAACGACCAAGCTAAATCTAACAAATCAAGCGCCCCTTAGTACTCAGCTGTAAGCCTGCAACTCTCTAAAACAACCTAAATGAGCTCTTACTTTGTAAACTCGTTCTCGGGGCGCTACCCAAATGGCCCCGACTATCAACTGCTAAATTATGGAGCCGGCAGCGGCGCAATGAACGGCGGGACGTACAGGGACTCTTCCTCCGCCAACATGCACCATGCGACGGGCTCTTACGGCTACAGCTACAATGGCATGGACCTGACCGTCACCAACCGGGGAGGGGGGAGCAGCAACACCGCCAACACCGGAGGACACTTCGGGGGCGGCTCGGTGGTCGGGGACTCCCGGGGCTTCGGCTCCCCTGCCTCGGAGACAGGCTTCAGACAGCAGTCCAGCTGCTCCCTCGCCTCTGCGGCAGACTCCCTCCTGTCACCCGGTAGTGGAGACACCAAACTGGGCGCCCAGAGCTCGTCTCCTCGCTCGGAGCAACCAGGAAGCGGCAATCTCAGCTCTCCAAACCTGTCCTCCGCCTCCACCGGCGGTGGTGGCGGCGGTGGCGGCACGGCGCAGCGCTTCACGGAGCTGGACGACGCGTCGCCAGAGACCGAGGAGTT